GTTGCATTGTTCAAGGTTGTGGAAGCAGGTGAGTGGCACAGACACCAGCATGGAGGATGAGCCCAGGGACCAGGGTGGGTGCCAGCACTGAGGAGACACTTGGTGAGAGCAACTGCACACATAGGTGCACAGGTCTCTAATGCCTGTGAGCTGAGGCAGTGTGGAGCATTGCAAGCTCAACTTTCCAGGCAGGCATCATTCAATGCAGGCCCTAGGTATTCCCAGCTGCTCCCTTCTTCTCTTTCCAGGGAGATATTATAGCCAACTGGGTGAGGGAGGCTCATGCTGCCTGGTCTCCAGGCCCCAGATCTTCCCCCAAACACCCTCAGAACCAAGAGAGACAGACCCTCAGTCTCACCTTAAAGGAAGCTTTGTTTTCCTTTGGATCCCCCGCACATATCTCGATAGTACTATTGTATTTTAATAATTTCTCGTGCTCGCACACCTGGTCATTCTGCACTTTCAGTTCCACCTCTTTCAGCGTGTTGGGGTGTTTGTCTTTTCTGTCCATTCTCCCCCAGCCAGCCACAAGACACACCTTCCCAGGCTTCACCTTGTTCTTGCCCCTGGGCAGCTTGATAGGCTGCACAGCTGCATTCAACTTAGCTTTTTTCTCTAGCTATGGGGGAGAAGAAAGAGTTCAGTTCAGACAAGGGCCTCTGGGCCTAGACACCATGATGGCCAGGATGGAAGTTAGTAAAGGGACAGGGTCATGGTGGGAGGGTAGCACCTGTACTAGGGAGGACAGAGGCAGCAGGGAACGGGACATACCTCCAGTAACATGATGTCGTTGTACAAGTAATTATCATCATAGTCTGGGTGGGGGATGGTTCTTTTCACTGGGATGACCTGCTGGGTCTTCTCCAGATTCTCAATGTTGTGTGCCCCCAGGGTGACAGTCATTGGCCTGCATAGAGAGTGCAGTGGTCATGGGTGATGTGGAGTCATAAAGAATACATCTAGGAGCTGTGAAGAGCAGGCTACAGCAGAGCAGGATAGAGCTGTAGATGAGGGGGAACAGGGAGGAGAGGAACCTTGGGCTGAGTGACAGTGCCCTTTGCTTCTTACCAGTTGAGGAGATTTCTGAAGCCATTGGTATCTGAACCATAGGTTCTCAGGACTCAATCATACCCAGGAAAACACATGCAAATATTTTTAGTTTGCATTGTCATAGCAAAGCACGCTCCCAGCTCTTGATATGGCAGGCTTGGACACCCTGGTCTTTCTTACACAGTAGTGCCTCCAGAGCCACCTGCCTTGCTCTCCATAGGACTTAGCCCATCCTCTTTCTTTCTCATCCCTGAAGGCATCTCCTGCACATATTCTCCCAGGTATCCATTTGTCTATTGAGAAGGAGGAAGAGGTCTCTGTATAATGTTTGCAGGAGGGTCTGGGCTATTTTCTGGTCCTCACCTTCCCAAGCAGTGAGCAGCTGTCAACACAAAGTCTTCTCGTATCAGGAAGCCACCACACATAGTCCTTTCACCTTGAGCAACAAACTGAAGATAGGCCATATAGGGGCGGGAGTGGGGCTTGGATTCTTGTCCCCCGATGATCTCCCCTGAAGGTAAAAATCACCCTGTTTGTTTGTACCCACTGAATTCAGCAGATGGGCATCCATTCCCTGCCTCCAGAACTGTGGAGCATTTGGGAACCTTGGATGACCTGAGTCTGGGCAGGGGCTGAGGATGGGGGCCTCAACTTCCTCTTCTGAAAAAGGGAAGGAAAGCAGGTGTTGGTCTATGAGTTTTTCTTCCTTACATAGGTGGAGTTGAGCATACATTTCTAGGGACAATCAAATTCCAGAGGAGCTTTCTGCTTCCAGAAATTTCTGAGGCCCTCCTGAGTGCTGTGATGCCTAGGACACTGGCTGCTTGCTAATGGCCAGGATTTCAGTTCACTCTAGATGTTGTTCTGTCCTATTTCCTAGGCCTGACGTGTATGTAGTCCATGGGATGCACAAAGGAATGGCTCTAGTTTGTCTCTGGGTGAGGGTTGGTAGGGCAGTGCTGCTGGGGTTTTGGAAAGCAAAGAAGTTAGTGTCTGCCACAGTGGCTCCTACTAGAAAACAGGGGAGTCACCAGAGGTCTGGGAAGAGAAACAGAGTTGGCAAAAGGGATAGAGTGGCTTGGGACAGAGCAAAGGAAGTATTCTGGGGACAGTGATTCCAGCATTTCTGAGGTCACCTGGGCTCTAGAGTTCTCTGCTGAGCACTGAGCAATTGGCAAGAGTGCACCTGTGTCACCCCAGACATAGGTGCCAGACCCACTCTGCTCCTTTCCAGGAGAATTGAACATTTCCTCCCTTCCACCCTCTGGGGTGCACTTGTAGCCAAGCCCCACATTCCAGATGACAGGATGGGGTCTAGGCAGGGGTCTACATCCACTGGCTCTTCTTCCAAACAGACTTCTGCCCCCTATGTTACTGTTAGCTTAATCAGTTTCTCCCTTGGGGTTCTGCAGTGGGGCTGGAACTGGGATCCGAAGACTCTGGTCAGAAGAAGGAACCGGGGGGTATGCAGAAGGGACAGGAGTTCTGTGCCAGCTGTGGTTCAGGGTTGGACCTCTGAGAGAGGGGATGGTCACTCACCTGCCTGTGCCTTGGGAGGCAGAAAGAAGGCCAACAGGAGCAGGCGCAAATGCATCTTCCTAGGAGGGCTTGTGGATCTTCGTCCTTGTTTTCTTTTATTCCCCGGGGCAAAAGAAGGTGGAGTGGGCTCTGAGATCTTGTGTTTCTGTCTGTTTTTAAGGTGCTTCATCATAGAAGGCTTTCTATGAAAGCTGCCTACCCCCACTGCCTGGCCTGATGACGTCTTCTGAGTGGTTGTGTGAGAATCAGGCTGTGACCACATCAGTACTGGGTGCTGATGATTCAGAGTGCACCACCTGTTCCAGCTCAGAACGGGAACCCAAGAGCATAAGGTGGAGACTGTAGGATGTGGTATTGGTCAGTGAAGTGTTCTGGGTTCCCAGTGATACAACTATGCATAGTCTCCATGCCCTGCTGCTGAGCTCAGTAGGGTAATTTCTGTAGCAGACGTGCATTTAGCAGATGTGCCTCCATCTCTTGTGCTAGGACCAAGCTTGTTGGAGATGTCTTTCCTTCCCTTAGAGAGCTGATCTTCTGGTAGAAGATGAACAGGCATGGTTTG